CCAAAAAAAAAAGCTTAGGGAACCTCCCTAGCACGAGGCGGAAGCCCCGGAGCTCCCGACGACTCCGACAAGAAGAGCTTTCAGCTCAGAAGTTCAGCCCCCGCAGAGCCCGGTTTCCAGCGAACCTCGTTGTAAGTGAGCTACGCCTACCCTATCTTTAGTATAACTTATGTTTAAATATAGTAATGTTATTAGGACCTTATAATAAATATTTGGGCTATTATTATGATTTATATAAGTGTCGTTATAATATCTTTTTAACCATTCGCGGTACGGGGAATTCGGTTTGAAGGGCCGCTTGGGTTGCTGGATTCAGAAGTGCTATATGCTAAAATGATCTTGCCCTCCGGTGTTTCATGTCTGGCCCCTGTCTGTACATAGTGGGTGAAAAGTATTATGTTAACTCTTATATAACATTAATAATAGCAAGACTATTAATTAGTCTCGGTGAACATTAGACTAAACTCTAGTGGTAATGATACTAGGTTTTGTTAAAGGAAATTGATTTAAGTAAACGAAGTCTGCCCGAGTTCAGAATCACCACCTTATCAGGTGAGTGCATAGTTACTTTCATCTTACACATAGATATGAAGTATTTTATATAAGTTACATGCTATGTGTGCATATTATCTGCTTACTTGCTATCTATGCTAGATGAATGATTTTATACATGTTTTAAATGATTTAAACTGTATATGTATTTTATATCTACAAAATATGTTGGGTAAAACATGGGTAGATGAAATATGATTTGGATGATGAGATGAGAGGTAATATAGACCATGAGATAAGGGTGAGAGGTGAACCGTGAGAGAAGCCTTTTACCCAAGTATTGGCCCCGTCATCTAGCAGAGTATGGATGACAACCACAGACTATTCTAGACAGCTCAGTGGAACACTAGCAGGCTCGCAACCTGTAGGTGTAGTGAATGAGATATTCACTTGTTGTACTCTAAAAATCCATTGACATGTATTGCGAGAGGAGTCTCAAAAACGATATTGTCGATAAACGAGATTAACCCTTATTTGACACACTAACCACTGGCCATCCCTCATTTGACACATCAACGATTGGTTAAAGTCCACTTCAGCTTCATTGCAGGTTAATCCCTTTAGTTTTTGCAAAAATGGTTTTTTTGGCCTAACATTTCATACTTCAATGGCTCAAAAGTAAAAAAAAAAAAAAAAAAAGAAGAAGTTTAGGAGCCATTTACAACCGAAAGTAAGAGTTTATAGGGTTTTTGATGACAATAACCAACTTTTTTAGTTTTCTGCTAATTTTTTAGAAAAATGGTTTTCCCACATCGTCCACTGTGGGTCATCGTATTTTTGAGGTTTGGGGAGAGGTTCAATATTTGGGGATGATGCTAACCAACCATTTAAGGACTATGTCGTACACCTTCTGTGACCACCTTCTAATTGAAACCTATAGGAATTAGACTAAGGCTGAAGGGAGTGGCCCACGAGCTCCCTCGCCATGAACTCGCCACCATTCGTTTTCCATGTGTTAAGCCTCTCACTTCTTCCATGCTCGCCAGGAGCTTGACGACAGGAAAGAGAAAAAGCATAAGAGAAGAAGGGCTATGATTGGTCCTTTTTTTGTTTTGTTTTTTTTTTTTTAAATCAAGCCCTTTGATTGGTTCTTTTTCAGTTTTTTTCCCTTAATTCAGGTGTATATGTGTTTAAGATAAAAGCTTATGTGGAAGGTAAAATATGATGTGACAATGTGATTAACATGTGCTAGACATGCTACCACTCCTCGTAGCCTAAGAATCTAAGGTGCTGTTTGTTTTTTCTAAAAAACATTTTCTAACCACTTATTGTTGTGCCGCGCAACACTTGGCCCTTCGCAGCTGTTTGTTTTTCAGAAGACTTCTGACTTAAAAACTGTTGCGCGTGTGCTGCGTGGCGCATCACTTAACCCTCTGTTTCAAACCTCTTCACACCTTAATTTAACTTATTGTAGCAATCTGCAGAGATTAAAAAACAAATAAACTTTTTATTACATGCTGCAGCCGTTTGGTCCCACTCTTCTGTTACAGAGGGTTGCAGAGATGTTCCGCAGACTTCAGACATTTTCGCTTCGAAAATGTCTTACCTGGTAGGCCACTTTGGTTTATATATATAAAAAATAAGTTAAATTTGTTTGTTTTTGTTTTTATTTTTTTACATATATTTATAATTTTTATATAGTCCTCCGGTAAATAACCCCAAAAATTATCATTTCGTTGGAAAAAAAAGCTGGTTGGTGAGGTTTTGGAATTTGGATCTTGCTCGCGACTTCAGAGTTGAAACACCACCACACCAGTCTACTATTCTACCATATCCGCCGTAGGGTTTTGAGGTTTTCTCCTAAACCTGACCAAAAATTCATCATCTATAACAAAATTTTGTTCAGTTGATCGTTCACAGGTCTACTCATCGACCATGGTTGGAAAAGTAGACGCCGCGAAGGGAGGTGCGAAGTCTTTGCAGTCGCCGGCGTCCAATCAAGCTTCCTCCAAGCCCGATCTGTCATCCATGTCCACAACATTCTCATTCAAAACCCTAAAACTGAAAACGAAGCAACAAGAGCTGTTGATCCGAGTCACAATCCTCGGCCTCGTCTACATTTTAGCTTTCATCACTCGTCTCTTCAGCGTTCTCCGCTACGAGAGTATGATTCATGAATTTGATCCTTATTTCAACTATCGAACTACTCTCTACCTAACCGAAAAAGGTTTCTACGAGTTCTGGAACTGGTTTGACTCCGAGAGTTGGTATCCGCTTGGCCGAATCATTGGTGGAACTCTCTATCCAGGTCTTATGGTCACCGCCGCTATCCTTTACTGGACTCTCAAATTTCTCCGATTCGCGGTTCATATTCGCGAGATCTGTGTGCTAACTGCTCCATTTTTCGCTTCCAACACAACGATCGTCGCGTATTTCTTCGGGAAAGAGCTGTGGGACTCAGGTGCAGGTCTAGTTGCGGCGGCCTTGATCGCTATTTGTCCTGGATACATTTCGAGGTCGGTGGCTGGGTCTTATGACAATGAAGGCGTTGCCATTTTTGCTCTGTTGCTTACTTTCTACTTGTTCGTTAAGGCTGTCAATACTGGATCGCTTGCCTGGTCTCTCGCTTCAGCTTTTGGATACTTCTACATGGTCTCCGCATGGGGTGGTTATGTGTTTATCATCAATTTAATTCCATTATATGTGTTGGTCCTATTGATCACCGGGAGGTATTCCATGAGGTTGTATGTCGCTTATAATTGTATGTATATAGTCGGAATGTTGCTAGCAATGCAGATTCGGTTTGTTGGGTTTCAACATGTTCAGTCAGGGGAACATATGGCTGCCATGGGAGTGTTCTTCTTGATTCAGGTATTCTACTTCCTACTTTACGTGAAGCACATGTTGAATGATACAAAGCTGTTTCAAGCCCTTTTGAGGATCGGTGTAACATCAGCAGTAGCTGTGGGTGCTATTGCACTTGGAGTAGGAACAGCTTCTGGTTATATCTCACCATGGACAGGCCGGTTTTACTCTTTACTGGATCCAACATATGCTAAAGATCATATTCCAATTATAGCATCAGTCTCTGAGCATCAGCCTACTGCATGGTCATCTTTCATGTTTGATTTCCACATTCTTCTTTTCCTATTTCCAGCGGGTTTATACTTCTGCTTCAAGAGATTATCAGATGCCACAATCTTCATTGTGATGTATGGTCTCACGAGTATGTATTTTGCTGGTGTGATGGTTCGATTGATTCTTGTGGCAACACCTGCAGTATGCCTCATAAGTGCTATTGCAGTATCTGCTACAATAAAGAATTTGACCCAAGCCATTAGAGGAAAAACCAGTCAAACAGTATCTTCTAAGGGAACAGGAAGCACAAAGGGATTATCTAAGGTGAGAATCTTTTTCCATTCTATTGTCTTCAATCTTCTATAGTATGTTACATCTTTCTTTTGTTTCAGCAACAAGCTTCTCTTGACCAAAGTATCCCATTCCTTAAAAATGGTGCAACTGCATTACTTCTTGGAGCATTCTACTTACTAAGCAGATACGCAATCCATTGCACATGGGTGACATCAGAAGCCTACTCATCTCCTTCAATTGTGTTAGCTGCCCGAGGTGCCCATGGGCAGAGGATTATCTTTGATGATTATCGTGAAGCATACTTTTGGATTAGACAAAATACTCCTTCAGATGCTAAAATCATGTCATGGTGGGATTATGGGTATCAAATCACAGCCATGGGGAATAGAACTGTGATTGTGGACAATAATACATGGAACAATACACACATTGCTACAGTTGGAAGGGCAATGTCGTCATATGAAGACGAAGCTTATGAGATTATGAGATCACTTGATGTGGATTATGTGTTGGTTGTTTTTGGTGGTGTTACTGGCTACTCTTCTGATGACATTAACAAGTAAGAAATTTCTTTATTTTACCCTATTTTAAGTCTGTTTATTCTGTGAAAATAATTCTACAACAATATAATAATGTTTGTGTTATGTGTATAGGTTTTTGTGGATGGTGAGAATTGGAGGTGGAGTTTTCCCTGTGATCAAGGAACCTGATTATCTTGTTAATGGTGAATATCGTGTTGATAAAGGAGCAGCTCCCAAGATGTTGAATTGTCTAATGTAAGTTTCTCATATAAATATTCCTTTTTCTTTTAATCCTATTTTTGTTTATTTTTTTATTTTTTATATATATATTCATTTATAGGTACAAGCTTTGCTATTATCGGTTTGGAGAGCTCACAACTGAGTATGGAAAACCACCAGGGTGCGTATCGTAACATAATTGAAAAGACATAAATGCCCTCGTCCTTGTCATTCATTAATGTGCTATATATATATATATATATATATATATATATATATATATATATATTTTGTTGTATGAAATGACAGGTATGACAGAGCACGGGGGGTTGAAATAGGGAATAAAGACGTGAAACTTGAATACTTGGAAGAAGCATTCACAACATCAAATTGGATTGTTAGGATTTACAAAGTTAAGCCACCTACCAACAGATGGTAACTAACTAAGAAAGACCAGAGCTTTACTTTACTACAACATATGGATATGATGATGATACTTATAATTTATCAATCAGACTTTTTTTTTTTTTTAGTGGTGGTGAGTCTTAGAAATTTGCGTATTCTACTTTCATTATGTAGCTTTTGTTTCTTTATCTCCCACTAGGTCTTAGTATGTTTGATTTTGCATCAACTGTTTCTTAATCAGAAGTATTACATACCAAAGTTGTTGGAGAATCATATGATTAAAGTCGCTTTTTTACCATTTACCTTGATTTGACTAAGTTCGTGTTTTTTTGAGCAACAAATCTAAGAGTAAATTACACAAATGGTGCCTATGGTTTGGGGTAATTTCCACATTTGGTCCTTAACTTATTTTTTTAACTCGGAAGGTCCCTACAATTTGTTTTTGTTGCGTGCTTGGTCCTTGCCTTATCTAAACCTTACCTAAAAAAAAACTATTTTTCCTTTTATTTTTTAATTTATTTAAATAAGGTGGAGTAGGTAATGTGAGATGGAAGTGAGGTTGGGTGTGTTTATTTAAATAAATTAAAAAATCAAGGGCAAAATAATCTTTTTAGGTAAGACAGAGGCCAAACGCGTAACAAAAACAAAAGGAAGGACCATTCATATAAATTACCCCAAACCATAGGTACCATTTGTGTAATTTACTCCAAATCTAATTTACTTTTAAACCACTCACTTTAACCCTCAACAACAAAAAAAAACCTCAACAACAAAAAAGAAAGACAACACGGGCCTTTGGTGTTGTGTTTGTGTTTAAAGATGATTTTTTTTTGTTAAGTTGTTTTTTTTGCATTAAGTCAAGAAAACATTCTATATAGATTTTTATCATATTAATTTATATCCCCATTATGGGGTTGTATCTTTTTGTATTAATGGGCTTAACGTGTTAAGCATCTATATTCGACAACTGTATATTAATGATTTCTTTTTGACTTGATATGAAGAGAATGACTTAATGGATAAACCAAAAGAAACTAGGTTAAAAAATACTAGAGAAATTGTTCTTAAAACACTGGTACTAGTTAACAAACTATTATAAGCTACTTTTGTGAGTTCACCAAACATAAGGTTTCAATAAGCTATTTAATACGTGCCAAACACAGCCTTTTTTACATCCTACTTTTAAGCAAAAAGATGTTTTGGTTGCCTTAATTTTTGAGATCCGGTTCAATCACATATCTTCCATGGCTTCAACCTCTTGTATCACCTTAAACGCAGGGTTTTCATAGTCTATATGCGGCTTAATCACATTCACTACTTCCTTCACTTTTGATTGCTGCAACAATTTGTCCAAGATAATAAGTACATAAAAAATGCATGAACAAATACTAGTTTAAAAGTAAGGAAACTTTGAATGAAAATGAAGTTTAAGATAGTCAAGGATTTTGTGATCTTCTAAATTGTGTTAATCAAAAGAATTGAATCAATATTTTGATAGACTTTTTATAATCATATTTAATAGGCACAAATACTAAACATTTATGAAATTAGTCACTTAACTATTATTTTTATAAACCTTATCCAATAAACTATAATAATAATAATAATTATCATAAAATGATAATAGTTGAGTGACTTAATCGACATACGAACAATTGTTTATTTAAATGGTAAAAAAATAACCAAAATGTTTACTCACTACACAAAATAATTAAATAGTTCAATGTCTAAATTGTTAAAAATCTAAAAAAAACAAGTGTTTTTCTGTCTTTTGTCTACTCTATACTAAACATTTATGAAATTTTCCACCCTTCAGAAAAAAGATTTATGAAAATCAAAGAAAGAAAAATGACAAAAAATAAAAACATATTTGAGAAATTAAGGATTTAGGGTTGGGAAATCTCGATACAATCCTTACATTTTGACCTCATATTCAATTAAGTCTCTATATTATTATTTTTTTTATTAAGTCCCGGATACGGAGAATTGTATTCAATTTCATCATTTTTCCAGATATCATGTTTCCCACCTTCAAAGTTTACACTTTGACCAACATTTTAAATTTTATTATAAATTTGGTCCAAAATTTACATTTTTAGTCTAGATTTCAAAAATTTGTTACAAATTCATCCTAAATTTAGTTTTTTTTTACATTTTTTTTTTAAAATTGTTTCAAATATGTTATTTTTTCTTTATAAAATCATATTTATACAAAGAAAACATATTTTTCACATAAAACCCCTTCTTTTTTCTATATAAAAACCTTTTATCACAAAATAATTTTGTTAAAATATTTTTTTTATGTAAAAAAAATGTTTTTTTGTATAAATTTGGTCCAAAAGGTTTTGTTCGTGCACCTATATAATTCAAAAACAAATAACATGTCAAAAATTACTTTTTGTAAATATCTTGGTTTTCAATGTGAAAATATATTTTTTATTTTAGTAATTATCTTTTTGTAAATATTTTGGTTTTTTTTATGTGGAAATATGTTTTTAGTTTTTAAGCAAAATCTAGTAAACATAATCAACTTCAACATTTTTTCTTATTGTTCAACCAAGGATGAAAAAAATTATTTTCACATAGGATCAAAAAATTATTTTTGTTTGTGCACATATATAATTCGAAAACAAATAACATGTCAAAAATTATTTTTATAGATATCTTGGTTTTTTATATGAAAATATATTTTTTATATTAGTAAATATCTTGGTTTTTAATTTGAAAAATATGTTTTTTAGTTTTTAAACAAAATCTCATAACCATAACCACTTCAACGTTTTTTATTTTAATATAAACCAATAAATTGTACACCCATTTTCACTTATAAAAGTTAATAAAGATAAACATTTTTTTATAAAAATGAAAGTGAATATATTTTTTTTTGGCTAAAATGATCAACATGAAACTTGTAGTAATCGTCAAAACAAACACGTGATATAAAGAACATAGAAAATGGAGTTTGTATGCAGAGATTATGATTTTTATAAGTTTTGAGGCAAATAATAACAAATATAATGATGTTAATAAAACTTAATGTGACCATTGTTTCTTTCTTATGAGTATTTTAACATATTTTTCACGTATAAGAACTTTTTTTTAATAAAAATCTTTTACATCCCTATTTTACCAAAATACCCTTGGAAATAGTTTTGATTTTGCAACTTACCAGAAGCTCATATTTGGTCTTTAATTCTTGATAAACCACAAGCTGACGTGGATCCGTCACTAGAATCGCTGTCCCAGCTCCAACCTGCATCACATAATCCCGACCCGACCCGACCCGTTTAGACACATCCGGTGGATTTTTAGGTTAATGGGATTTGGGTATTTGCGCTATGAATCAATTGGATTGGGATTTGAGTCATCTGACTATGAAATTATAGGGACTTGGGAGTATACATGCTTAGATCGGAATGGAATCATTCAAGATTGACCATCATGTAATTGTCTTCTATAATTCTAATCGCATGAGACAAGTCCAGTTTACAACAGAATCGATAACAATTAATGATAAAAGAACCAAGAACTTTAAAGTGAACAAAAGAACAAGAAGATAGAGACGGAATTTGATTACCTTGTTAGGTTTTCCCACAGTCCTTGAACCCAATCCACGACCGCCGGCACCGCCATTAGCAGCCACATTTGATCTTCCATCCCTCTTCTTCGGTCTTCCTCTTCGCCGGAGCACATTTCCAGATAACGGTACAGTCACCGTTCCGATTCCGATCCTCCTCGGTCTACCACGACCCCTCTTACTACCCATCGTTCCTGACATCATTTTAGGTTCGCGTGAAGAGTTCTCAGATGGCGTCTCGACAGCCTGAGTTTCACCACCACCAAATACAGTCATATGACCACCGGTGGTAGCGCCAACCTTCGGCGGACGACCACGGCCTCTTTTCGCCGTCGCTGCTGAGTTCTCAGTTGGTGGAGGTGATGGAACTGCAACACTGTCATTACCCAGTCCTGGTGAAGAAGAAAGAGGCTCAGAATCAGATCTATGCTTAGGAGGACGACCCGGTTTCCTTTTCGACAAACCAGGTGGAGAATTCATCATGTTAGGATCAGGATTGATTAGAGATACAGTCGATTCAATAATGGGGATGGTTAAAGTTGCAACGATTGATACGTTTGGAGCCGATCTGAAATTGTATACGTCGCCGATTACAAAACAAGAGGAAAAAGCCCCAAAATAATGGCCTTTTTTTTAACCCTAATTTAAGTATTATTATTTTTTTTTAAAGATGTTTAATTTTTTGGACCTTATTTTCTAAGTTTGTAATTAACCATAATATTTACGTATGAGTATCCATTTAACTTTAACATTTTTTTTTCCAATTTGCCATTATATTTTTTTGAAAAATTTTCATTTTAATCATTGGCCAGTCATAAATAAATATTTTAAAACGTAATAACCTAAATTGAAAAAGAAAAAATCAAAGACAAGAGTCAAAACTACTTCTTCTTGAGGGCGTCGTGTGCTAGTCAGTAAGTCAATGACTGTTTTTTTGTATTATTAGTGTTTGTTGTAATTAATGCACACATGTATTTTAAAATGAACGATAAAGACCTAGTGTAAGGTGTCGTTTGTTTTTACGAAGCAAAAATGTCTGAAGTTTGCAGACCACCTCTACAACTCTTGTAGCAGAAGAGGGGGACCAAACGGCTGCAATATGTACTAAAAAGTGTGTTTGTTTTTTAACTTCTGCAGACTACTGCAATAAGTTAAAGTAAGGTGTGAAGAGGTTTGAAACAGAGGGTCAAGTGATGCGTCACGCAACACATGCACAACAATTTTTAAGTCAGAAGTCTTTTGAAAAACAAACAGCTGCGAAGGGCTAAGTGTTGCGTGTGTGCTGCGCGACGCATCAATAAATGGTTAGAAGAAGTTTTTTAGAAAACACAAACACCGCCTAAGTCTCAAGTCTGAAACATCAAATAAACAATATGACATGTTAATATTTGAGCCAATAAAAATTATCATTTCTTTGGTTTCTCAATCAATATGTCATTAGAAATAACAAATTGTTTCTTCGATGAGTTATGAATGAATTAACAATTTTGATTTGCTTAAATATTAGCATGTCATATTGTTTATTAGATGTTATGGACTCAAGACTTACAATAGACAT